GGATAACTACGACCATAATAATGTGCTTATAGTATATTAAAAGTTTTACACAATTAAAAGAGGTAGAGAAAAAAAATTAAGAAAATGATTAAAAATATATGAGTCATATATACAATTTTTTAGAGTAATTAAGAAAATTTATTTACGAGATATGAATGGAAAATAGCATTACATTTTGGAAAATTAGTTAAGGATAATCACTTGAATATATCAAAGAACCATAAGAATAATTATTATATTTTGTTGTATATAATATATAATGCTTCCTATATATACTATATATATATGTAAAATGTTTGTTATTATTTATTTTTTGCTTCACATAAATAACTTCTTTATGCTTGCAATTAAATTCTATTAAGTGGTTAAAGTTGTTATTTTATTTATTTATTTTTTTTTTTTTTTTTTTGTTACACTTTTCTCATCCCTAAACATTTTAAGTTGAAAGGATACATCTTTAATAATACATTACATATTTTAATTGTGATAATATATTTCACTGTTTTGGGTATTTATATCTAAGTTGGAAGAAATACAACGAACCTTCGTAATAAAGAGTTTAAGATGACATATCTTGGAATTAATTAAATATACCACTAGATTTTCTTTTTTTATTCTTAATATACAAAGCTACGTAAAATTAAATATCTCAGATAAACATGAAAAATCATAATAAAAAAAATAAATTATGCGATAAAGAATAGTTAATACTACAGGAAATGAGTATGTTTGTCAATTCTTTTTTGCCACAAAATCCAATATAAAATAGATCCTTTTATAAACTTTTATTAATATATGTCCTTTAACTAGTTCATAATGTAATGATATGCAGCAGAAACGATACAAATGGTAATTCGTTAGCAATATGTACATCCTCTTATTATATGCATTTAAGTTTTCAAAACAATGTTATATTCCTAATATATGTCTTATTTTGGATGTTTTTATCTAATTGTGTACATTTTTCATCTTATTACTTTTCATGTTACGAAATGGAAATAGCTAGTGATATAAATTAACATGTGAAATTTGTATTATAAGTTTTCTCTTTAATTTATCTACAAGAATGGCTAAAATATTTTTTATGCATTCTTACACAAATCCATAAGGATTTTTATGTTATTAGATGTACACCATTGACTAAGTGTTGGAGTTACTTTTGGAAAAATGTCTCGTTCAAATAGGAAGTACTGTAGCTTTTATGCGTATTATTCTTCTTATTATAGGAATAGTTGCAAAATTAAATAATGAGTTTGAATAAATACAAATTTAAATCATTTACTCGTGCACAACATAATATACATATATATTGTCTTTAATTTTTTAGAAATTTAAAATATCTTATAGTTTTCACTGTTCCAATAAATTAAGATAATTGACCACACATATTGGAAATGTAATAATAAAGACTCATGAAATGAGAAATGCATAACAATCCATTATTGACTGAGCAAGAAAGCATTATATTTATAATAATTAATAGCTATATATTAAGATGATCATGGGAAATTTATCTGAAAGTGTTTACTATGTTACCATTAATCAGAATATTTTACAATTTGATTACTGTTTTATAGTAACGAATGGTCTTGATTATAGAAGTTGTAATATTATGATAATACACACTGTGCTTAGAAATAATGACATTTTAGATTTTGACGATATGTTTACAGTTCATACATGAAAAATAATATTGAAAAAACTAATTTCTATTGGTTTTTTTATAGAACGCATGTTATGAGACTTAATGGAGAGAATAAAAACAAAGTGGAAGTAGAAGGAGTATAAGAAATGTATGCAATGCTAAATTAATTTGTAAGTTATTCATGTGATAAGACAGAATTATAGAATCAATGGTTTATACGATAACTTAGTTTTGAAAAGAACGAAATATCGACAAATTATAATAGAGAATATGCTACAGAAACATTTGGCAATACTTGAGTTTTGGGCTTTTTATTATATAAGTAAACATAATTATATAAAACATATTTGAGTATAATATAAAAAGTTGCACAAAATGTTTATACATATTAAAGTAATATTATAAGTTTATTTTAAATAAGAATGCAAATAAAAAAGTATAGTGTATAAATTTGAGATTTTGGCTATATACACAGATAAGAAAAAAAAAAAAAATGCAAAGTATGTATCATCTTTGTAAATTGACATAACTGAAAGTTTATTTATAAATGCTACTGAATGGACGAAAAGAAAAATTTTGAAACATGAACAAATCAAAGTATAAATTTGGGGTACTTTAATAAAACAAATATTAAAAGAAAAGAGTATGTAATTAGCAATACTGGTACTATTATATAAAGAAACCTGTTTTCATAAAAATTCAAATAAAAAAATGCTTGTTCTTATTATAAATAATATATATAACTAATTTATAAGAAATAGGTATTTATCATAAGCTTTTAGTGCAATTTTTTGAAAAATCAAACGCTAAAGAAACCTTTGAAAGAAGTGCAAAAGAAAACATGTTAAAAAATATTATTAAAATAAATAGCATAAATATTATGTATTAATAGATGATAATATATATAATAAAGTTATAAATTTTCTATATAGCAGGGTCACATATTTATTTATTATTTTCTATTTAACACTCTCTTTAGATTTATTGATTATGTTTAAGGTTTCATACGTAAATAATCCGTGAAGTACTTATATTATGTCGTTCATGCTTAACACTATAAAAAATTTATTTGCTTATTAATTTTTGATTGACAAAATATATGTATTTATTTTTATGTTTTTTACATTAATTTATTCTATTAATACCCAGGATACAAAAAAATAAAAGTGAAAACAAATAAATGAAATAAAAATTATAATAACCTGGAAGAGGTTTGAAATATTTGTAAATACCTAAAGTGTTTCTAAATAGACATTCACACAGAAGGAAAACTCATTTAGTATAACATATTTTGGTAAGTTCTCTAAGTTATTTCGTGTCTAATATTGAGTCAACTAAAACAAGAATAAAAATCACTGAAGTATCATATAAGAACAAAACTTGTTACTTATTAGAAGAAAATGTATGAAAGTGAATGCATATATTTCTTTAGTTAATGCTTAGTTTTTCTCATTCTGTTACATATATATTCCGTTCTATTTCCTTATGAGATAGCATATTTGTATATATTTTTTCGTTTAAGGAATATTTTTTAGAATGAATTTTGTATGTTAAAAAATATTTTACCAAAATATTTTTTTATGATTTTTTTATTTTTTTTCAATAATATACTGTGAAAAGGAATCAACTTAGTCACTCTCTATATTTATACATCGATCTGCTGCATAATACACTATTTGTATAGCAAAAAAAATATTTTATTCCTTACCGCAGGTATTGCTCAAACAAATTCTCAATCGTGAAAGTGAGAAAAAAAACTTATTTACAAATATGTAATTATTGTGATTATCACAATACATAGTCAATTCTTAGTAAATGCAGAACTGAAATTTTAATTAATAGAACAAAAATAGGATAATTCATACAACGTAAAATATATGTTTTCTGAAAAAATTATAATTTTTTATTAATCAAAATGCATGAAAATTTCTAGTTCTAAATTTTTTTCATTTAGATCAGTAATTGTTTTTTAATTTTTAAAAATTTAATAGAAAATACATTTTATTTTAGAAAGCACAAATTTTAGATTAATTAAATATACATTACACAATATTTAGATGATTTATTACCACCTAATATATTTGTCATGCGTTTGCATAATTTATATCGTTAAAAATAAAATAAACTATTAACATTGGATACAAAAGGAGCTCTGAGATCATGACAAGAATATGAATTTATGTATATAGAACAATTATGCGTTAGAAAGAACTACTATTTCATATTTTTGCTAAGTGTCTTATATAGTGAGTAATATTTTATTTTACAGTCGAAATATTTCTTTTGTTTAGTGAGCAAATACCTTTTTGATTAAGATTATAAGGAATAAAAAAATGTACAAAATAATGTTACATTTTAATTTATTCTATCATAATATTTATGATTTAATATATGTCATGATCATATTCTATTACAAGTTTATAATATTTGAAAAAAAAAAAAGTTTAAATATAAGAAACATAATATATGAATAAAGATGTTATACGTAAGTATAAGGATTATATTTACATTAAGAATTTATATATCTTATAATGATATCTTCTAATTATTTTTGTAATAATCATGTATCGTACAACAAGTTTGTTATTAAATTATATATTATGCGAATATATATATATATATATATATAGCATTACAAGATTAAATTACATTATATCATATGTGATTTTATTAATTATATATTGTTTTAATTGTTACATATTGTTTAGAATATTTGGACACGACCACTATAAATTATGAAAGTTCATATTGACAGGTTTACACTATCATACACGTTAGTATAAATAAAATTATTAGAATATAAAATGTACAAATGAAACATGAGCCCACAATTTTTAATATAAAACATCTTTTTTATGCATATTATGCCTTTTTGTGTTTCTAATGCAGAAAAAAATTTTATCGAAAAAAGTCCTTTATTACTTAACATGATCATTAATGTAATTAGAATAACTCATAATGGGTAAATTACAATTTAAACGTAAATTAGAGACACTACATTGATAAACTTAGCGTAACTCCTTACAGAGAATGTATAAGACTAGTGGAATAACTTAACACCTTATATTACAATATTATAGGAATTTACATGTTCTGTGTTGCAATGTTAAATTTAATTCTTAAAGTATTTATTTATAGAAATACAATTTAAAATATTATGATATTACTATAACAGTTCCATATTAGCATAAAGAACAAATATTAGTTTTAATATTTATTTATGTCTAAAAATTAATTAAAAAAGCGTTTATATTATATATCCGTAGATTTTGTTATATTATTATTGATCTAAAATTAATAGCACACTACAATCGTTAACTTTGCTTTTTGTTTTAATCGCACATTTATAGATAGAATGTCACATGAGGGTCTAGAACCAGATGTATTTATACATTATTACTTTCGATTATATATATTTTTTGTGCTCCATATATTATTATGGTTATAGAAATGAGTTTACATTATTATAATATTATTTTTACGTTTTCATATCATACAAATTTCATTTTTGCCATTTATTTTAGTATAAAATATTCAAAGATTCATGGATTTATAGCATTGATAAAAATAATGTTCTAGAGTCTATAGAAGATATAAATGGAATTACTTTATTTTGTAAAAATAATGAACCTAAGAAAATACATTGGAACAATGATTTATCTAATCTTTGTGAAAATTTTGTAAAATATTATACATATATATCTGAAGGTGAAGAAGGAAAACTAATTAAATGTGATAATAATGATAATAAATGTTACAAATGGTTGAATTATTGGTTAAATGATAAATTAAGGAAATTGAATACTAATGAAAATCAAAGAAAAACATTTTATGAAATTTTGGAAACAATGCAGGAAGATTTATATATAGAAGATCTTATAAACAATAATATACTATATTTAATAGAAGACAGATATTTTAACAATATGAGTTTGATAAACAGATTGTATGATACTTATTATAAAATTTTCGGAATAAATGGTAATGTCTATGACGAACAGAAATGCTCCTCATACGCTAAACTTTGCTACGATGAATATAAAAATAGTTTGTTAAAGTGCTATAAAAATGGCTTTAATGATAAAAAATTTTGTGATGCATTAAAAGAATTTAGATGCTTATATGAAAAAAGTAAATCTGAAAAAGTATTAATGAATAGTGTACAACCAGAATCTTTTCATTTAAAAAGTGAAGATTCAGGTACTGTGGATAAAGAAAATATTTTACAAAAAAAGGTACTTATCTATGATCTAGAAAGAAAATAATTTAAACATGAAATATAAGCATGTTTAAACTTTTTATTTATATAATGTTACACAAATATATCTTTTTCATTCGAAATGTGATTATAAGATATTCAGCAGCATAAATATTTACACTTTTGCATGTACTATTATTTAACTATATTTTTAGTGTGAAGTTTTTAACAATATAAGCTCATTTGAATATTCTACTAAATTTTATAAATATGATAAAGATCAAAAAAAGATAGAGATGAAAAATATGATCAATGACTTTTATAAATGCTATGGGGAAATTGAACGCACTGATCCTAATACTGCATTGGGTTATCGTAGACATTTTAGGTTATTTATTTATGAATATATTAATCTATATAATGAAATTAAAAGCGAGTGTTCTTCTAATGAAGAATTAAAAAAACATGAGGGAATTTGTTCTTACTACAATATACATAAAACTTCATATGTAGAAGACGATAATATTCATTTTGCAAAATGGGAAAAATTACAAGAGCAGAAGACATATAATCAATCAAGGACATCAAAAATTTTACCTGTTTCGAATATTGATGATTATCACACAATTAAGGCTAATTTTATAACACCATTTTGTTTAACTGTTGGAATATTTATTATTTTATTATGTTTGTATAAGGTAAAACGATAGCATAATTGAAAAATTTTTATTAAATATATTCAAGAAAATAAAATTCTTATGAAAACGTTTACTTTTAGGGATGTTAAAATTTTTTTTTTATTAGTTTACTCCTTTAGGTTCTAAATTTCGTTCTCTCCTTATATACAAAAGAACTAGAAAAAATGAAGAAAATGAAATTAATATACCTTTTTCATCGATACCGATGAACGGGATTAGAAATCGTTATAAAGAACGGCAAAGTATATTATATCATTTCTAGCAACTAACGAAAACCTTAATATTTATTAATTTAAACATATTTTTAATGGATACATATGAATAAATCAAAAATAATTAGGTATATATCTAACAAAAAATAATACAGGAAATGAAAAAGTAAATAATTGTGTTAAATTACAGTTCTGTATTCTCCAAAACTGCATAAAAAATGTAATATAAATTCCATTATTTAATATACAAAAATAGTATGACCCTATATTTAAAAAGGTAATTGTTCTTAATTTATATTAATTAGTATATGAAATGGCCCATAGAATAGTAACACACTATTTGTATGCCGAGAAATGCAGATTGTGAGGATACAAAGAGTAAAATATAATATGTAACTTATGTTAAAGGAAACATCATATATTAATATGTGCTACAAATAATATTTACAGGCACTCATGCATTTGTCACATAGTGATATAACATTCTTTACTAAAACATAAAGGTGTGATAAAAAAAACAAATTACATATCACTTTATAATTAGAATAAATAAAGAATATCTCTTATGTATTTAACACAATTACATAGTGTGAAAGAATATGTTTTGTGAGATAAAAAAAAACACACTAAATATATATTAGAGTTTACATAGCAAAGTTATATTACACTTAAAACTAAATATATTTCTGAGCATCAAGAAAATGGAATAGCTATATATATAATACAAAATAAACCATGGTTTATTTGTTTTAAGTCTTATGTTCTCAACATAAATATTTTGTGTCAATAATGATCTTATATAAGAAGCTTCTATAAAGTTGTGGAAAGATTTAATTGTAAATATTACCATAAAATGAAAACAATTTTAAATATTAACTATAGTAAAGAAAATTAATCATATAATTAATAAATAATTAATGTAAATATATATATTAATAGCATTATATACTTGAAAAAAATATATCTAGTTATATGAATATTTAAAAGTATATATACTTTATAATTTAGGTTTTGGTATAAAAGTATATAACCTAGGCATACAGTAATATAAAAAAGGATTTATTTTTAATTTATATGTATATTTTTTATTAACGTATTAAAAAATCAATTTTAAAAAATAAGAATACTATAGAATATGCATTATTAAAAACAAATGAATATATATACAACTAAAAATTGGTAACTATAATATATATCATATAAGATATAATTGGATTTTATAAATTCATTAGCAGATAAATTGCTTGCATAAAAGAATTATTTTTTTTAGTTTTTATTTATAAATTATTAAAATAAATAATGTTTTTGTATGAAAGTTTTCTTTTTGCTGATTTTATTTGATAATTTGGAATTGTTCTAATTGTGTTGTTTTATCATAATGAGCAATTATAATTTTTTTTTAGTGTTAGATATTAGCTAATAGAATCTTTCTATCATATATATATTAATTTATTAAAAGCTCGTTTGTTGTTCATTTTATTATATATCACTTAGTATTATGCATACTGTTTTAAATTTAAAATTAACAAAGACATATTTTTTTACAAGTTTTATACATTCTTAATATTTCTGAATTGAGTCTGTTTTTAGAATTAAATTGTAACACCTATTTTTTTGATGCTTATATTTCTATTCTATAATTATTATTATTAAATATCATAAACTATAATTTTATGTGATAATATGTGTATTAGACAACATTAATATTTCATTAATTAATTTATAAAATGGAATATATCATTGATTTTCTGGGAACATTTTACACGAAAATGTATAATATCATAGTGAATAAATAATATTAATTTCGCATATAACGTGTTATTAAAAGTAATATGTGAAAAATTATGTTTTTTACTGAAATTTATAAAAAATATGATATAAATATGTGAAGACACAGAATAATACAAATAACATAATATTTTTTAAGAACATGATATATTTTATTATAAAATATATTTGTGAATATACGAGAAGTGATATATCACTAATATTATAATAATACAATATTAGGGTACATGTCTATGTGTTTATCAATTACCATTATATTCATACATATATGTTCATAGTATTTGTTTTTCTTATAAAATAGTTACTTTATTAGTATGTTTTATGAAAACACATAAATATATATAATTGTATTATTCTGATTAATGCATTAAACGAAATAAATTTAGCTAATTTTGTCATTAAATGTGGATAATTTACCATTATCTGTATTAAAATAATTACATGTTCGTTAAATATATATTTCAAGAATTTTCCATATAACTGAACTTAATTATAATTTATATTATAATTGTATATTTTGTGACACATATGCAGTTATTATTTCTTCAGTTTTTGTATTTATCAAACATTGATCACACTATTTTATATCAGAATGATGTTATATTTTTTCTTATTAATCTTGATCTAAGAGGAATACTAATTTTACCCCATTAACTTAAATTATATTGTAATCTATATAAGCATATATCTGCATGTGTATATTTTATATATGAAATCAAGATTTATTGTTCATTTAATATGTAAAAATGTTATTTTACTACATTTTTCTTTATTGTCTTACATTGTTAAAATGTTTACATTTTTGTGTAATTTTTATCTGATGTCTTAATATTTTTTTTACATTACAGAGACGAATTGTATAGTCTATTATTTATATATATATGGGAATAATATTTCTTAATGTAAATGTTAATAATAATTTACAAGAAATCTTTAATTTATAGGAAAATATAATTTTCTTGAAAACTGTATTTTGAAAAAGTCATTCCTAGGTGTGTATAAAAAAATTGTATATCAATTATCAATATATTAAGAGTAACATTGAAAATATTAAATAAGATAAAATATTTTATTTATTTACATTAATATAAAACATATATACGTGATTCATCTATGTTCCACTGTGCCTTTTTTATTTTATTTTTTTTTTGATGTTCTGAATGATGTATTTTTAATTTTATAGAATGACTTCTTACTAGTTAAATAATTCGAAGGGATTCTGTTAAAATCATTATGTTATCCCATGTTGTAAATAAATATATATAAATGTTTGTGTAAATATATGTATCTAATGATTATTTAGAAAATACCAGATTGCGTATGTTTTTATTATTATGTACTTATTAAACTGATACACTCATAACATTAAAATTTAGTTGTAGTGTACACGTATAAATGTAAGAATTAAAAATACAACTTTACACAAATGTGTAAAAGGAGAATTTTATCAATTATTTTTAGTTCATTAACAATGCCCTTTCGTAAATCAAAATTAGTGTAAAATAATTGAACTATATTTTTGACTATCAGTGAAACTTTAATAAAGCAACAGGACATTTTTTAGGAAATGAAAAAGGTAGAGAAATTTTTTCCTTGTTTGAAAATATATTTATGATTGATGAAAAAAAAATTACGTCACAATATAAAACTATGAGAACGAGAAATTTTATTGTCTAGTAAATAATAATTTTAAAAAATTGTGTTGCACTTTTTCATAGTTATAGCTACTTGTTATGAAATAAAAAAACGATTCGTATTAGTCATCTCCGTTTTTGTAAAAACATTCTATAAATGAAAAGCTTGAATGTATGTACATCTCTATATTTTTATATATAAGGTACACACTATTGCACTATTTTTCGTTACCAATTTATAAACATTTTATTAATTAAACATTTATAATGACTTATAACACAAACGTATTTGCATTCTGTTACCTCTAATTCCGTAGAACATTTATGAAAAGGGTTTTGATAAAAGTGGTTGCAAAAAGGATATACACATTAAAATAATAAATAGACATATTCCTATTGTTTATATAAGTGATGTAGCTAACAATTTAAGAATGTTTTTTCTTGAAATTGACTTACAAAGTCTTTACTTTTTGTAAAATTAAAATATCACAGCAGAAATCAGATCGTATAAAATTAGTCATAATAGATAGGACACACATAAAAATAAATTGATTAAATATATGTTACAGTCTTAAGTATATGCAACCATAGTGGGATTTAACTATTCGATTAATAATGTCTAAGAAAAATACTACATTAGAAACTATTTAATAACTGCATCTTGTATGACAAAACTGAACTACAAAATTGTTTGCACAGAACTCCATCAAAAAGTGCAACTAGGTACTATGTTTTTTTAATTTTTTATGCTGAATCAATTTCTAAAAATGTTTCGTTTATCGCTCAATTTAATTTTGGTTATTTAGAACGAACTTATATTTTTGTATAAACACTTTATAGAATATTTTACAAAATTTTGTAAGGTATATGATATCTTGGTTATATGTTAATTTATAATAACAATTTGTATTATTAGACAAAATTTTATTGACATATATATATATATATACATTATTTGTTGTACACCCTTTTCATTTTTTTGTGCAGTGGAAAATTTTAAGGGAGCTATACTAATAACAAATAAACAGATAAAATTTTATATAATAAACTTATTTATCTACTATGATGGCTTCCTAGGGGAGAAGTATGTATAAAATAAGCATATATATTTAAACGTATATATTTTTATTTAAAGAATTATATTTTATTTTGAATAAAATTAAGGAGACCAAAACAGTTCTTAACATTGCTGCTGATGTATATATTGAGGGTACTTAATAATAACTTTAATTTACAAGATGAAATATAAATGTTTTTTTAAAGAATCTATAATTTAATAAAAAAAATTGCATATTATGTCTTTGAAAATATGGAATACACTTTAAACTAAGCAGAGCTATATATTTTTAACAGGAAGCATGTGAAAAAAGTCTAGGAATATATTATTAGACACAAGTAAGATATATGTAAAAAAAAAAATTTGTCCTGTTGAGTGTTCATTAGTGATACATGAATGATAGTTTAAAGCATACCTGCTTATATTGTGCTCATATTTTGCTTATTATTTACATTTTCTCTCTTCGTCACTCGTTGTATACGTATGACAGTCTCAGGTTTCACAGAAATTGTCTACTTTTTTTTTTTTTTTCTTTATTAGAGTTCCTTTTATTTTGATTTAATTAATGAACTATGTAATATGTTTAATAATTCAATTTTTTACGTATATTCACGTAATAATGTTAGTTAGATAATGTTATAATCATATATGACATTAAATAATAACATATGAAAACGATAATACAATTAAAAGTATTTGAATTTCACCTAACATTAGTAAAGAAGATTATATTGCATATACAATATGGTATAATAATTTTACTAGGTTAATACTGCTGTATATGTATAAATGAACGTAATTTGGTAATTATAGCAATATATGGTAAAGAGTAATTATAAAATGTTACGAGACATTTTATAAATATTGTTTATAAATGAATGAAAATAACTAAAGATGAGTTCATTCATTAATTGAATGCTTATCCATAATTTAAGAAGCAAAGAAAAATATGTTACAAACACCTCATATTAATAAATAATAAATAAATGTCGTTTTGTTGAACGTTGTGTAAATATGTATATTTTTCTGTAATACAACTTATTTGCAAATGATTAATCGTTTTATAAATATGTTAGGCTATATTTTATACGAAACAATTATTAATAGTTACGAATACAAATTGTCATTCAATGGAAACAAGATATGTTTTACTAGACGTGGGTATTATTAAATATAAAGTAATAGGCTTATGTAACTGATTGAAAAAAAATATAATTATACGTACTTTAAATTTATTACTTTTGTAATTCGTAAATTTTATTACAGTATTATTATGTTTTCGCCCCATTCTAACGTATTTTTTATTTATGAATTAAAACAAAAATAAAATAAAAGTAAAGGAATGATTTTTATTTTATCGCATTAAGGTTTTGTGGATGCAGTTAATTTATATTCGATAGTTACTATTATACAAGGAAATATGAATCAAAATATTGATATTAAAGAGATAAGGTCTCCAAAAATTGTTTTAACAAAATAACATTTACTCTTTTATCCTAATTTTTCTATTAAAAAAAATACTTTTAAAATTTTGTATTTATTAGACAACTAAATAAACAAAAAAAATTTTATATTATACATTTTTATATAAAAAAGAAAAGAACAAAAATCTTTGTCTGGTAAATGTTATTTTATTATACTCATTAAGTGCATAAGATACCTCAAAAAATTTGCATGTAATTATCCTTCGCTTTGCTTTATCAATGTATTCCTGGAGATTATATATAGGGATAACAGGCTGTAATATTATCATATTTCAGCTATATTATGTATATTACACGCTTAAATACAATGATATTTATTTAATAATATAAAAACTCTATAACATTAAAAATAAAATACATATGCTGTTTTCTTTCTTAAAATAATAATGGCAAAAACAAAATGTTTACTAATGAAAGAAATATTAAGTCTCCTTACTATAATTAAAATTGTTTATTTTTATTTTTTATTGCTGTTATGTCATTGTTGTGATATAATAATATTAAAAGATAATGCAGCTCAATTTTTTCTATGTATTACACTATTTTTTATTTTAATACTTATTCTTCTATAGCATAAATTTATTCATTGTTTTAATTGTCCAAAATTGATTTAACTTTTATAGCATTTGATTATTATAATTTTCTATAAAAAATATATGTTAGATGAAACTTTTGCCACAATAATTAACTTATTATTAGCAATGCATAATCTGGAAAAAGGATTAGAACAGAGATTATCTAAAATAGATTTATCAAATTATGACACATACAATGAAATCAAAAACAAAGGGCAAAGTTTGCTAATGTATAACAATTTAAAACAAACAATATTAAGCAAATTTTATTATTATAAACGAAATTAGAAATGTACATTTGTTAAAGTAATAAATGGAAATATTTGTAATGCTGTTATATTTTAACATATATTTTAACATATATTTTCTTATTGACCTATATACTCTTATATATATATATATATTAGCATGTGTAATATAAATGAATATAATTTTAAAATCGTCGTCATATTAAGCAAAATTGAGGAACGCGTTTTCTATTTAATTTATTAGAATCACGTTTAAACATGTATTCTAATTTAAATTTAGTTAATACTTTGCTATAATTTTTTATTCATATTTTTGTGAAAAAGTTAATTATGACATTTAATGTACTACCAAGTTAATATTCAAAATATTTATTACTCATTTAGAATTTTCAGAATTAAGTTTACAAACGTTAATGCAAATTAAAATAAAACGTTTAATATGTTTTACTTATGCTAAATAAAGCATAGATATAAATATTAATAATGTATACGTGCTTTATTATTTCTTCAAAAATGAGTTGCAAATTAAAAAGACATAACATCATATATGTATAGGTTATATATATAAATATAATGAAAAAAATGTTGAATTTATTAGCGTAAAAACACATTATTTTAATGAGTCGTTCATTGCAAAACCACTATAAATGTTCTAAAAATAAAATAAAATTTACAAAAAATATCTTATTTTGTACTGTATTTTTACGAACAAAAAAATTATTAAATGGTTAACCCACAAAAAAAAAAAAGAAAGTTAAAATAAAATAAAACTATGCACAATAGCTAATAATGTGACATATGGATGATATAACAATGATATATTTTATTATTAATTTCTATTATGTTGGATTGTATCCTACATGATGTGCATCATCCTTTCGATTTTTACGTTCAGTTTGACCATCTTTTTTTTT